GTTAGTATTCAGTGTGTTTGATTGAGAGCTAAGAAAGCTAATCAGGGAGAATAGCGAAGAGTGAGAGGTGTATGATCAGGGAGATTGTTCATCTTAGATAGCCAGACTATACAGCTGAGAGCTGATCAGTTTAGGCTTTGTCAGTTAAACAAGAACAAGGAAATCGTTCTAGTGGTTACGTAGGGAATCTCAAGAGGAGGTCTCCCTACCGTGGATTAGTCGATATTGGGATACTTATTCTCCCAATATCGGATACCACGTAAAAAGTGTGAGTGTGTTCCATTTCAATTCAGTTCTTACTGTATTTCTTGGTTGTTCTGTGTTTGCTTGAATTGAACAGATACAGGAAGAACACTGAGCTGAGAAATCGTTCCTAGCTGAAGAAGAGAAGTCTTGAGCAGGCCTTAAGACTTCAGTCGGGACTAAGCCCAGTGTATTGGGAATAAACAATTGGGCTTCAAGCCCAGTCATACATCAGATAACTAAAATTCACTTGTGTTAATTTTGGTCTATTTACATTTTCTGTTTCAAAGCACCAAATCGTGCATCAACCATCACACTGTTGTCCCTTCACTTGTTTGGCAATCGTGTCGATTAGGGTTTTGTAGGAATTGATTCTCATCGGAACAGTCAAGAAGAAGGCGGCAGGTCTCGCCTTCTTCTTCCCTCGGAGAATGAAAAAATCAAACCACTTCCTTCGGAGAATTTTGAATTCCATCAACTTCAGCATACACAAGTAATTTATTAGCATCATAATTTGTCGTCAAATAAGCCCAACTATACGATGGATGTAGAAAAAAGTTGTTGATGAACACTAATTTAACACAATCCCTGCATCCAAATACATCAGCCAGGAGAGTGTTGATTTCAAACCAAACCCTTGCCAGAAGATTATCAAAATACAATAAAAGAAAAAACTGTCTGTTTGTCTTTTTTATTTTATAATCTGCCTAAATATATTATTAACTTACAGGAGAGGCATTACAATCTTGTAGTAAAATGAGATCAGGAAATATGGGTGGTCTCGTGAACCACACCTCTGACCCGTCCGTGAACGAGGTTTAGCCTAACTGGTGAGTCGGCACTCTTCTCATGATAATTTGTGTGTTCCATTTCTAGTGACAGCACTTCCCTAGTCCATCTAGTAGCACCTTATAACAAATCATTATAAATAAATAAAAACCTCTCACCCGTCCCAATTACAATCGAGCAGCTTGATTTCCATCTCATTCCAACGGTCTTTTTGTCTTGATTTCACAGGATATTGTAAATTTGAATGATACGAAGAACAACCAAACAAGCCCTTAAATTGATAAAATCCGGGGTACATTAGTGTAATAGTGTTTGTATGGTGGCAAAATAATAAATTGCAAAGTTGAAGATAAGAACAAACCGATTTATTCACCATTGATTATTAATTAATTTATTAACTACCCTTAAAAAGAAAGATTTTGAACTTTGCCCGAATGACTCTATCTATCGTTTTCTGACAATCTCAGTTTCAGCATCTATTTTCGCGAAACAAAACCTTCTGGAACGACGTGTTGTGGATTTAATCAAACGCTTTTTTATTAGCTTAAACTATATGATCTCCAACAATTGTTTTTTCTTTCTTTCGCGAAGAGCCAAAGCCAAGTTGTAGAGTAGGAAGGAACTTGGCATCTGCAATTAGCAATGGAATCCGAATCAAACAGAACCTTTTCTTTTAAAATCAACAACATGATGCGAGAAAGCAATGGAAAGCCCAAAACCTATATTTATAATTATGTGTTTACCTGCTATGATTGAAATAATCAACCACTATATATATATAACTACAATAGCCTTAAGTAAGTCTTAACTGTTGGACATGTTGGATAGGGAGAGATGACTGACTCTCTCTAAATAAACAATTAATTTGGTGGCAAAATGAAAATTTCATACTTATCTTTGCTTTGTCAAAACCAACTAGTTGCACAATCAATAAATTCCACAAAAAGGTAAAGTAGATTATTGTAGGGTTTAAGACAACTGACGTAACAGGAAATATACGTAAATGCGGCTTGCTAAAATATACGTAAATGCAACTTAGTTCATGGTATAAATTGAGATATCGCTATATTTACTACAAATCATTTGTGTGTAAATATAGGACCACAACACCACACCATAAATAACATAAAGCAAACCAAAAAGGTTATAAAGCAGGCGAGAACCTCATCACACCACCAATGTCATAAATCATACCAGCAAACTCAAAGTAGATCATAGGTTCTCGAGAGCATACCAGAAATCGAATAAAGCATACCACAACTTCCTGAACCATACCATAAACCTCATAAAGCATATCACAAGTTTATTAAACATACCAAAAGTTTCTTAAAGTAGAACAAAAACCTTATAAACATACCACAAGTTCACTGGAGCATAATATAAAGATCACAAAACATACCAGAAACCTCATATATTTGGTGTATTCGTAGAATTTAAAAGTTGAGGTACTAAAATGTCATATTTTATTAATATTTTTAGGAATTATATGAAAAAAAATAATTTTAGGCACTTAAACTTAAAATCTACTAAGTTTAGGTGCCAAACTCTAATTTGCATATTTCAGAATAAAAAAAAAATTCTAATTTGCATATCAAACCCAAATCCATGGAACGAAGGAGAGTAATTGTTATAACTTGTAAGTGGTTGTTACTACAACACCCTTATAATTAGTGTTAGTAGGTTGCTAACACTAATAGGTGTTAGGCTGTTAGCACTCCATCCGGTCCCACAACACGACTACTTTATGGTAAATATTTTATAAGAATAGTGGTTCATTTCCCGTCCATTTATGTACATTTTTAATGCATAAAGTTATGCAATTTTATACTATTGTTGACATTTTCATCATTTTATTGATTTTAAATAAGCAGTATTTTTCAATTTTATTACGATGACTGTCGTTGAGCAAGAAAATTTATAAATTAAATAAATTTGGATAAAAAACATTCACAATCCATTTGCATTTCAATCATTTCTATAAAATTCTAGGTACAACTCTGTACATACTGGTAACCATTATATATGGAAATATTTGACTAAAAATGCAGCTGTAATTCTATTTGATGTCATTATACTAGTTAAAAGTTAGAGATTAAATTTATTTTTGATTAGTTTATTTGTTGGCCAGAGTTATCGTGAAAGATAAATTTGAAAAAGTACCCATTAATTATCGTAAGCGTAATGAACATTTGAAAGTGGATTCAAACCAATGACAGAAGAAGTTTAGGGTACTTTGCTCCAACCAGCTGATCTAAATCTAATATGCTCGAACCCGGCCCAAGGATATGACGACAATAGAGTGGAACAATCTGTGGTGTTTTCAATTAAATATTTGTTATTGTTCTTATGTGATTTCTACAATGCATCTAAGAAGTGAGTTGAATACCATACATGCACGACATAGGGAGAGATTGGATGGTTAAGAAGATGCATTCCCTAGCTACGCTAAAAACAAGCTAACGTTAGCTAGTGCTTCAAGGTGGCTGGAAAGATGGAGAAGTTTGTGCTTTGTGAATAAGAGTGTAGAAGTTCAGTCTCATTGATGTCGTGGGTGAAGTTCCAATTAGACATATCCTGAATGATGGCTGAAATGATGTGGTAAGTGTTGGATTGTGAGACCTTGAAGATCTTTGCATATTATTCAAATTCGATCATACCTGTATTTAAGGGGTCGTTTGGAAGTTGCGATAGTTTTGTTGAGATTGTCATTATGCATGTATTGTTTACAATGCATCGTTTTTTTGTTTTTTTAGCAGAAACAATACATGGATTGTTTCTGTGATTTGACAGAAACTATCACTCATTTTGAGTGATTGTTATATCTCAACTTTTAGTTGTGATTGTTGAGATAGTTGAGTTGAGATTGTTTTGTCTAAGCTTTTAGCTGATGCGACATACACAATCACACATACCAAACGTTGTATTCTACAATGCATCAAATTCGACAATACATGTATAATATTATACATGCATTCTCAACAATACATCTATTTAACAATCGCAACTTCCAAACGACCCCTAACATTACAGACAGGAAGCACCACCCTTCTAACATTAGAGAACACGAATGACTTCGATCACAACAACAAGGAGACATGAGTGTTCGATTCATTTGAAAACCAATTCCACTGGACTAAAAATGCAGCAAATCCATTAGATTCGAATGAGAACTCATCGTCGTGCATCCGAAATCGAATCGAAACTGCCGGTTCTAATCGATCCGGACCATCGGTAAGAGTTATTATGTTACACAAGTATGCAGTGTTCATCAGTTGCAACCGCATAAGTGTATGTGAAAGAGATCGAGAGGCGTCGTTCCATAAGGAGATGCTAATTCTTCCTTGACCAGGTCGAACGACCATACAATTCCAAAATGTATTTGATTACTGGCAATGATAATTTTTTTTTAGAAAGATGGAACAGGAAGAAGATGCATTGCCTAGCTACGCTGAAACAGGTCATCCTGCAAACTGCATCTCTGTTTCTTTTACTTGTTTCCAATAACATAGAGTTATGGTCGTCATTCCGTTTTCAAACCAAGGAAATACAAAAAAATACACGGTTTAATGTGTGAATAAGTAAATATAATCACAATTAGGATTCACGTGAAAGGAAAAACAATGGTTTATGGTCGTCACCCACCCCGCTCCACATCGATAAAGGCAAGTTAAACAACAAGGATCTTTGAATGAATATATTTCTGATATCAGACTACATCAGTCAGCCGCGACTGCTTCAACTTGGCCATCTCTGTTTCTTTATGTTTTATTTCCCCTCCATTTGCATTATCATAAACATTAATCCCCAGCAAGAACCAAAAGGAAAAAACCAGGAGGCTAACTTGTCTTAATTCAATGTCTGGTCTGCCTGAAATCGCACCTTTCTCAACACATAACATTCAACATGCCCCTTGACTCTCTCTCTCTCTCTCTCTCTTCCAACCATCTAGAGTTGCTGGCCTATAAAAACCACCATCTCTACCATACCCTTGTCACATCTCCAAAGTCCCAACAAAACCCATTTCCCCAAATCTCTCCAAAACACTTCCTTCAAGCAAAAGTGTCTTCCTTTCTTCATCCACAACCCAACCCAAGAAGGAAATCCATCCACAGTTAGTGCAGCAGAATCACAAGGAGAAAGAGAATGAAGTTCGGGAAGGAATTCACGGCACAGATGGTGCCGGAATGGGAAGGAGCATACATGGACTACAATTTCCTGAAAACCCTTTTGAAAGAAATATTGAGGTTCAGGCAAAGAACCAGGTCATCACCTACTACTACAGCTACAGCAGCACCCCAAGGTGGCTTGAAAAGGAAGTTAACTCTTTACAGAGCCTTCAGCGGCTTAACACAAAAGAACAACACCAACTACAACCGTATGACGAAATCTCCCCACCAAGACGAGGACGACGACGAAGACATCGAGAGCCAGACCATTCTGGTGAATGCTGTGAATAATCAGGTGGGAGGGGGAGAAGGAGGAGGGCCTCAGAGTTACCAGACGACGTTCTTGATGGCCTCCGACGAAGGAGGAGAGTACGAGCTGGTGTACTTTCGGCGGCTGGATGATGAGTTCAATAAGGTGAACAAGTTCTACAAGTGCAAAGTGGAAGAGGTGTTGAAGGAAGCCGATTCCTTGACGAAGCAAATGGATGCTTTGATTGCGTTTAGGATCAAGGTTGAGAACCCGACCGGGTGGTCTCATGATGATAGGAAAGCTCAGATGACTCGGCTGGCCTCGGATGTTGCTGCTTCTGCTGCTGCGTTGTCTGCTACTACTCCTTCTGGAGCCAAAGCAAGCAGTAAGCACTTCAAACCAATTTGGCTTACATTGATAGGTGATGAGCAGAATAAGCTAGTTGGTGTTATTGTCAACTATTAATGTTTTTTGTGATTTTATGGCAGGAAACGTTCATTTAATGGAAGTTATTGAGGAAGGATCAATCAGTCACGAGCAATCATCATCGGATGGGTCATCCAGCCAAGACGAGGATGATGCAGAGAAAGAGGAGAAACCCAAGAAGAAACCAAACAACATCAATGCGGTGAGACCATCTCAACTGGAGGTGTTGGACCGCGTGAAGATGAATAACACCTCCGAGACACCACGATCCACCATTAAAGGATTCCTCCAGGTCCCTGGCCACAAGGAGCTCAAATTCACGAGGGAGAACCTCAGGAAGGTAGAGGAGCAGCTCAAACGTGCTTTCGTGGAGTTCTACCAGAAGCTTCGCCTTCTCAAGAGCTACAGCTTCCTGAACACACTCGCGTTTTCGAAAATCATGAAGAAGTATGATAAGATTACTTCGAGAAGTGCATCAGCAGCTTACATGAGAATGGTGGATAACTCGTACCTGGGAGCTTCTGATGATGTTACCAAGCTGATGGAGAGGGTTGAAGCTACATTCATCAAGCATTTCTCAAATGCTAATCGCAGTAAAGGAATGAACATATTGAGGCCAGCAGCTAAAAGAGAAAGGCATAGGACAACATTTACTATGGGTAAATCGCCTTAATTTTTCACATAACATAATTTTCCAACTTCTTAGAAGCTCTGTGTAGCTTGGTACTCTTCTCTAACTCTTGCAGTTTTCGGAAAATTTCAACAGGGTTCTTCTCTGGCTGCACAGCTGCTCTTTTCATAGCCCTAATCCTGGTCGTCAGAGCTCGCAATATCATGGATAAGGAAGGGAGGCAAAAGTACATGGTGACCATGTTTCCAATTTACAGGTAGAAATTACCTAGAATTCATTCAGCCTCTTGCTGTAACTATTTTTTTACCCTTTTTCTTCAAGAGCTTAGCAAGCAATGGCCATTTATTTGCAGCTTTTTCGGCTTCGTTGTTCTGCACATTGTCATGTATGCTGCAAACATCTACTTCTGGAGGCGATACCGGGTCAACTATTCCTTCATTTTTGGGTTCAGGCCAGGGACTGAATTAGGGTACCGGCAAGTCTTCCTGGTGGCTTTTGGTATTGCAGTCCTAGCACTTTGCAGTGTACTCTCGAATCTCGACATGGAAATGGATCCCGTGACAAAGGATTACCAAGCATTTACTGAACTCATCCCTCTGGGCCTGCTCACTGTAAGATCCTTGGAAATCCAAGTTTCCCAGCAGCAACTCGAAACTTGCAAAAATTCATGAACTCACCACGCTCCCATGTTGTCTATGGTTCTCTGCAGCTGCTCCTGGTTTTGTTGTTCTTGCCATTCAACATCCTGTATCGCTCTTCTCGCTTCTTCTTGCTCACATGTATCTTCCACTGCATCGTTGCTCCCCTCTACAAGGTAATTTTTGTTCGACCCATGAATAATGAAGCTACGGTTTTCTTTGGCTTATATATTGAATTTATTTCTTTTGCTGCAGGTCACACTACCAGATTTCTTCTTGGCAGATCAACTAACCAGCCAGGTTAGCAATCAAAGACCCTCACTCCATTAAACTGAACTTCAATTCCTCAAAGGGGAACCAAGAAACCATCTGTTTCCAACATATTTATATCTACTTTCTTCAGGTGCAAGCAATCCGAAGTCTGGAGTTCTACGTCTGCTATTATGGTTGGGGCGACTTCAGACATAGGGAGAACACTTGCAGGGATAGTGGGGTTTACAACACTTTCTATTTCATTGTCGCTGTCATCCCATTTGTGTCACGCCTCCTTCAGTGCCTTCGCCGGTTGTTTGAAGAGAAAGATCCCATGCAAGGTCTCAATGGGTTGAAGTACTTCGTGACGATAGTAGCAGTCACCATGAGAACAGCCTACACCTTGAACGAAGGAATTGCTTGGCTTGTACTAGCTTGGATATTCTCGGCCATTGCAGCCATTGGCTCCACTTACTGGGACCTCGTCTTCGACTGGGGGCTTCTTCAGCGCCACTCCAAGAACTGGTGGCTCAGAGACAAACTCCTTGTCCCCCACAAAAGGGTATACTACTTGGCAATGGTAAGTCCAGAAAGTTTCAAGCTTTTCAGGTTATATCGTCAATGTGACAGCTGCTGAACGTTGGGAGCTAACTTTTGGGCCTTGTTAACTTCTGCAGGTATTGAATGTGTTGCTGAGATTCGCTTGGCTGCAAACGATCCTTGGTTTGAATCTAAGCACCCTACATAGGCAAACTACGGTCACCATTTTTGCATGCTTGGAAATAATTCGTAGAGGCATCTGGAACTTCTTCAGGTAACTTATATTTCGTAACTCTCTCAAAGGTGGAGATGAGACTCGTGTGGACTCATCAGCTAACTCCATCAGTACAATAAAACTGTGGGTCATTTATTTGCAGGTTGGAGAATGAGCATCTTAACAATGTAGGGAAATACCGAGCGTTCAAATCCGTACCTTTGCCTTTCAACTATGATGAAGATGGTGACAAGGATGAGTAACGACGTAGGAGACAGAGCAGCAACTTTCTTTTAACTCAGGCTGTACTGCCAGGGTCCGAAACTGTACAATTCTGCGACGGGTCGTTTGGATGGGGGATTTTGACGCATGATTTTGCATAATCCTGCATTTGACGAAAGCTCCAAAAACTCGAGATTTCTATCCTTGTGGAATTTTGAATTCCCACAAATGTAAAGTTTGTTTGTTCATATTCAAGAGTTCATTGAAGTCTTCAAGGTTCAAGTTTTCTAGTCTTCGTTCAGACCTAATCGCTTCCATTTTTCTCATTGTGAGAAACAGGAATTCATCTACTTAGCTTTGAGGGATAATTAGTTGGTTTCAGATGCTGACATTAATCAATATATCAGAACATTCATAATTTTTTCTGCACCCAATCACTAAATCATAAACTAACTGCAGGCCTTGGCCATGTTAAAGCTGCATCCATGACATGTTATTGAGGAGTTCAACGACTATAAAGTTTTGAGAATCCAAAGAAGAGAAACAGCACCACTATTCAAGACCCTATCAGTCTCATAACCCTAGGGATGTCAAAGGTTTCAGTGGCGCTGCACAAACGTATATTTCAAGAAGGAATTTGTTGATGTTGCGAACTGATCTCAAACCCTGCAGATGGAAATGGACAAGTAATGGAGCGTAATATCTAGCATAAACCACTACCAAAAATCACAGCATGCCGCCACAAAAGTGAGATTGTACTGCAATACCCCTAAAAAGATCCCCAAGGAAAATAAGCTGTGATACTGATATGCCTAGGGTTTAATATGCAACCAGGAAATATGTGGGATGGTATACTGTTGAGATAGTTGCTAGAAATTTCAGAAATCATTAGCAAAGTAGGGTCGACGGGGCTACCTCTCTAATCAAGGAGCAAGACCTCATTCGAGATTCGAATTAAGAAGGGTTTTCAGAATCCGCTCAAAGAGAACAAGACAACAGACTTCACAATTGCATGCCTGTGCCACCAGCAACACCACAGTTGCAAAAAGCATTCAACCTTCATTGATGTGGAAATATATGAAATATAAGAGACTATAAAGGATGTGCATAATGGCAGAATTGTAGACTTCCCTAGAAATAGAATAGTTTCCAAGAGCATCATAAACAAAAGCAGGCAGTCAATCCCTGATGAGAAAACAGCTGCATAAGAGAATGTTCTGTATAACTGATATGGTAAGATCATGTCATAACTTCTAAAGGCATTGGCAAATGAAGCCATACCCCTGTCATTCTAATCACATTCCTTGTGGTCCACCCCTGACCCTGACTGACATTTTTTTTGATAAAATGGAGGCAAACGCCAGAAGAACACAGGGGAAATTAAACAGCCCCTAACCACATTGGCCTAGAACAGGTCAACTCTAAAACAAAGCAAAACCAGCTCAATCCCAAACAGAAAGGACTCTTAAAGCAGGAATCAATCAGAGTGGATCACTTGACGGGGAAAGCTGACTCCCAAAAGGTCTTCTTGAAGCATTGTCTTTAGATACGGAGGGGGTCCATCAAGTTCATACGTACCAAAGGGATAGACGAGACTGTGCTTCGAGAGCCAGTCCGCGACTCTATTTCCTTCTCGATACGTATGAACGAGTTGGACCACCCACCTTTGCGCTAGAAGTCTGCGAATAGCTCCCAAGATAGTGGCGTGAGGGTGAGTTTGATCTGTTCGATTCCTGACCCTGACTGACATAGCATAACAACAGCACAGCAGTTTGATCTATCACCATTCAACACAAGAGAAAATAGCATCCCAAGCAAGGAACCAAACCATAGCAGACAGAGGAAAGATTCTCATCATTCATTCATCCCCAAGCAGCCAATTAAACGGATGCACCACATCTTTGTTTGTCACATAAGTTAGTTCTATCAATTCAAGAACAGTAGTGTGGATTTCATGACAAACACAGAGCTTCGAACTCAGACTGTGGATTGTGAACAAATCTCAGAACAAAGCAAGAGAGGGAGATAGTGTATAAATGGGACAATGTATATCAGTCATTACCGTCCTTTTATTCTACAAAAGGAAGAAGCATTAACAAACACCCATTAGCTGAATTTATCCAGCTGATTTCAGAGTTAATAGGTAAATTTCTCTCTATAGGGCTCAAACCCCACAAAGTTCTAATCAATTCTCTACTACAGCAGCAAAGGGGGAAAAGTTCAATGGCAATTCTAACCGGAGCTAGGTCATAGCGTAGTTGAAGAAGCCTCCTCCTCCACCACAATGACTTCAGATCTCGAAGGGGCCGCGTCTCCTTCCTTCCCAACCGCCGACGCAGCAGCCTTCCTCTGCTCCTCTTCCTCACGGATCTCCTTCCTCGCCTGCTCCTCGGCGTTCTTCTCTGCCCTCAAGATCGGCTCGTAGTAATCTGGGTTCGCGTCAAGACACACCTTCAATAACCTAGTTACCTCGGAGCACTTCTCCACTAGATCCTCTTGCGCATTGTCCGCCTCCTTCACGCAATCCTCCCAAGCTATGAAGGCATCTTTGCACCCGCCGCCTTTCATGAACAAACAGAACCCGCATTCTCCTTCTTCCTCCTCCTCGTCTCCCTCCTTCTCTGCTGCCGGCTTCGACTGGTCTGATTCTTCAGCCGTAGTTTGTTGCTCAGCGGTAGGGTTTGGATCGGAAGGCGGCATGCCAGCGGGATTATCTGAGATGGGGGAAGAAATTGGGTTGTGCGAATCGCCGGGAGCCGTTGAAATTGCAGGCGGCGGAGAGGACTTCTCCGGGTGGGTAGGGTTTGTGGAAGGTTCTGTGCTGGTTGAAGAGAGTTCGCCTCCCATGGCTGAAACTTGGAAAAAAACCTCCCCAAAACCCCAACCAGAAAGAAATGGGGAAAAAAATTCTACGTGTCAGTGTTTTCACTGTTTCCAAATTTCAGCGATCGGGCTGCTCCCATTTTATGTAGACGTATCTGACTTGTGTTTCACGACAAGTTCCTCTTGAGCCTAGCCCAATTAAAACTCTTGCCACTCGAGCCCAACTATAAGCCCAACTATAAAGTGGGCTGTCAATGACAAAGGTTAGTTGCTTAGTGGATTTGAAAATGAATAGTTTTGATGAAATTTGAATTTTGTAAAATTCAATATTTATGATTGATTTGTTGAAATTATGAATTTGAAGAGTATATAATGTTTGGAAAAAATCCCAAAGTACACTAATTATTAAAAAAAATTCCCAAAATACATAAGTTATAAAAAAATTCCCAAAAGTACACATGTTTGAGCATCACCGTTTTTGACAAATGCAGTGAAGTGTATCACCGCGTTTGAAAAAAACGGTGAACATTTCACCGTTTAAAAAAAAACGGTGACGTATTCACCGTCTTAGTCGAAAATGGTGAAGGCATCATCGTTTTAAACAGAGACGGTGAATTCATCACCGTTTTAATAAAAAACGGTGAAGTCGCTGACGTGGACCAACGCGGGGTATTCACCGCGTTAGACAAACACGGTGAATACCCCGTGTTTGTTTACGTCAGCGATCCGCGCCGATGTGCTTTCACCGTGGCCGTTAGATGCGGTGAGGCGCGGATCGTGGTTTTCTTCCCACGATCCGACGCCTCACAACATGCCACGTCGACTCGGGAGAAACCATTTTTGGGGAATGCGATGCATTCACCGCGTCCCTCAAACGCGGTGAATGCTCCCCAATTGAATGCTGCGCAGGTGCCTCCCCCCTTCACTTACAACTCACACCACAACTATTTCACTTCTTTCTCCCTCAATTTATCCGCTCTAGTCTCGTTCTAAGTATGCTCTGTGGTTGCGGCTAAGTCCGATCTTCCGCATCAGAAAGAATTACTAGAGTTTGACCCTAAAGCCCCCGTCCTGCTAAGTTCCCGTCCCTTACAAACCTAAACCCGTCGAACCTCTGTCCGGCTTCCGCCAAAAAATGGACGAAGAGGTTCTTCGTGTAGGTTTTTGGTTTATGATTTTTTTTAATCGAAACAATTTGATTTTGTGTTTTTTTTTATCAAAACAATCTCTGATTTCATTACTTTTTTATAGATGGGTGCCGAGATATACGATCCTCGATTGTATATCCATTATGGCCCAAGGGATGCGAGTCTCTTAACCGATCAAGAAGCTCATCGCTTCCGTGCTATTTGGGATAACAATCCGGTAATTTGATGAGTATCTCGCTTTATTTTATTATTTTCTAAGGTTTTATTTTGCTTTATTTAATCTAATAAATTGTTGTTTTCCCTATTTTTTTAGGAATCTCTTGTTCCCGTGGTTCATAAAGGGACCAATAACTTGCCCGCTTGGCATCCAAAGTTGGAGCCCTATATAGCGAGGACAGGTTTGGGAATATTGCGCCATTTCTTGCGGATCGAAATCGACAACGATCTGCTTACGGCAATGGCGGAACGATGGCGTCCCGAAACCCATACGTCCCACCTTCCGGAGGGGGAAATGATGATCACCCTCAAAGACGTGGCGATCCTCACCGGACTGCCTATTTATGGGGATGCCATCATTGGTCCCACGACCAAACCCGAAGGAGGTTGGGGGCCGCTCATTCTTAGGGAATTGGGCTTTGACATGCCGACCACCACTCCAATTCAAGGACGGGGGCATCCACCGTTGAATGCGGGCCAAGTGTCGGTCCCGTGGCTGGTAACTCACATCCATCAAGAGGTGGGAATCAATAACGAGACACCGGAAGAACAAGTCGAGCTCTACGCCCGCATCTACCTCATCGGTTTGGTGGGTGGATTTTTGTTCCCTGACAAGTCCAACCGGTGGATTCCAGGCATATGGTTGCCATTGCTCACTGGTGACTGGGATGTAATTGGAGAGAAGAGTTGGGGATCGGCCGTGCTAGCGGGCGTATACCGGGAGCTGTGTACTTGCTCGAAAGTTGGGGCAAAGCAAGCTGGTGCTGCGATGTTCATCCTACAACTGTGGGTATGGGAGCATCTTCCAATGTTCGCACCTCTCGACCCACGTCCATACCGGAGAAACGATGATGAGCTCAACTTTCTGCAAAATCTCCCCTACGGTGTCAAGTAAGTTTATTTCGTACTTAGCCCAATTTAAATTTTATTACATGCTTGAGCTAGATTTAAATTGAATTTATTCCATACTTAGCCCAATTTAAATTTGATTGCATGCTTGAGCTAGATTTAAATTGAATTTATTCCGTACTTAGCCCAATTTTAATTTGATTACATGCTTAGCTAGATTTAAATTGAATTTATTCCGTACTTAGCCCAATATTAATTTGATTACATGCTTAGCTAGATTTAAATTGAATTTATTCCGTACTTAGACCAATTTAATTTATTATATGCTTAGTTATATTTCGTTACTTTTACTTAAAAGGTGGATAGGAGCAAATACGAATGACCATCCACCCATCTCGTGACTTTGGGAGAGATTTTGCTTTTCACCCATTTTGACCTCCACCCATCTCGAAACTCGCTTATAAACTTCTTCCACTTCCTAAGACCTGGAATATGGTAAAAATAACACAACCTAACATAAAAATGGACTAGGAATAGGACGTTCCCAAGATAAATTATCAATAACAATCAAGGAATGAAGGACAAACATATGAACCAATGAGCACTTATTAATTGTTATACTATATGAATGATTCTATCGTACACCAGTCAAAACGTGGTGTATGTCGTACACCAGGCAATTTTCACCGTCCGCGTCCATCTGAATGACCAATATAAATGAGGTAATTTATTTTTTAATCCCACACAAAAAAAGAACCCACATTAATGTTGGCTGTTGAGATGGCGTAGATAGTGGAGATTGCTGGTGTACGACATACCCCAATATATGTTTGGTGTACGATAGAAGTCACCTATAATATATATATATATGATTTTGGTTTCGGTGCACTCTTTTTTTTTTTTTTTTTTTTGCATTCAATGTACTCGTATCATAATCGTCATTCCGAGCATGCGATTCATGTCAAAACAATATCGATCGTCATTTGTGATATGATGAACAAGAAACACATATATTTGCAAAAAAACTCTTTCAAAATTTACTTCAATTTGAAGCATTAAGGGTTTAGGAATTTAGGATTAAGATTTATAATTTGGAATTTAGGGCTAGTATTCAAAATTAAAGATTTAGAGTTTAGGATAATGCAATGGTTAGTTGTAATCCAATATCATATTCATATCATCATTTCATATTATGTAATGCTACTAATTAAAGTTCAAAATTACATATCTTAATAAATTTTAGAGTAGGGTATTATATATGCACTTTCTGCTCCTTGTATGAGCTAGTTTGACAGAAGCAGCTTATGGCTTGAGTTTTTGGAAAGTACTTTTCAAAAAAAATAGGTAATTGTTTTGCTGAAAAACTACTAAAAAAGCTTTTTAATATTAGAGGTCATGTAAAATTACTAAATTATGATTTATAATGTGAAATATGAATAAAAACTCCTAAAAATAAAAAGTGGTCAAAATGGATCTTGTTAGATTTCTTTTATATTAAATAATAATATTATTTATTTTATTTTTAAAATGATAGAAATGAAATAAAAATTATATTTTCTAAAATAAAATTAACATATGATAAAAATAATCTTGTATTTTGAGAACAACTTTTCACAGAAGTTTCAAATCAGAGATTATGCTTTTATGTATAGAAAAATACTTTTTAACTTTTCAAAAGCTGAGTTTTTAAAGTTGTTTAAGGAAAAATAAAAACACTTTAAAACTCGTGCCAACATAAGCTATTTATGGTACGGTGTACAATCTACACATAATATAATACGCCGAAGGAAAAAAAGGGAGCCCCATTTCAAATTTCCTGCAATGAGAGTGAAAGTAGGAAGGACATTTTGGTCTTCACAATTACGTTTTTTTATTCATTAAAAAGACACATAGTGGGATTCGAACCATGACCATTTTAAAGAAAAGCAAGGATCATAACCAATCACACTTAGTAAATTTGTTGTATCTTTTTAAATTAAAATCACATAATAACAGGGAGGAAAAAACCCTTCCCCCATTTCAAATTTCCTACTCGAGGAGCGTTTGTAGGAATGGTCGAATAGGGAGTGTCAATTTTTTTTCCTCTTTCCTCTGTGGAACGGGCCAACTTACTGTACACATGCGGATTTAAACAGGTCCAGGAGTGTTTTTTTCTTTCATTAAGCCCTTTTATTTCTCCGTGGTGATAAAATATATATGAAAAGACAAAAACAATACTTCTTTCTATTGTTAAAAATAAAAAATTTAACAATAAACTAATGCATGGTATCTAATGGGCTAACCGCTATTTTCTTAGTGGCTAAAATATAATGTATATTATGATATTATTTTATATCTTAGTGGCTAAAATATAATGTATTTTAAAGATATTCAATGGTTCAACCTCGACCAACCCAATTAGTCCAATTTTTATCATTTCAAATGTATATTATATAATTATTTGATATCATAATGATCAAATTATAGTGTATTTTATAGGTTTGGTATTTATTAGTAAAAAAACTAAACAGAAAGATCTATTTGGTTATTTTAAACATTAAAACGATCCTAACATTTTCAGTTCCTTTTGAATTTCTATGGTTTTATTCCCGAATAAGTGATGTGCAAATGGCGAATTGCAGTCATCTCTTTTCTTTCACTATTTTTTATTTTCAAATAGAAAGTTTAAAAGTAAAGAATAATTAGAATTTGGCATGGATCGGTCAAACAGGCTGAATTTCAAGTTTTGGCCCGTTTTGATCAAGTCTAATTTATAACCACATGGTTCCCTGATACCCGATAAAAATCTCAATCCAAACCAGTTTGGCAGGTGAGTCAGTGTTTACCACAATTTTCTAGGGATACGACAACAACGGTATCGTGTTGTTCGTTCTTGATTTCCTTAGATTTTATCATGGCCTGACAAAAACCAGAAAGCACAATGACGATAAGATGAAAGTTTTATAAAGCAAATTAATCGCCCGACGGGCCGTGTAAAAGCTAGCAACGATTGTGAGGTGCTCGTTTCCTAAAAATCGACGGGATATGCGATTTTTTATTCGATTTTCTGGAATTAGGTTTCTATAAAACTTACTCCACCTCATCATATTACCAGAAACAATATTGTTTCACAAGGTAAAAAGTACTTGATTTTGGTTCATAAGGCCGATTTTTTATTTGTTGCATCATTCATGTCTCTTTCCTGCTAAAATTCACTATTTTTATCACGTGTTTCCCAAAAAAACTATAGAACAATAAGCTATACACCCCATTACATTATCAAATTTCATACCTCACCTTCCTCCGGCCAACTGGCCAGGGCCACACTAGTTCATTGTTAAATTTAACCGCTAAATGTCAAATGAACTGGGATTAAATATCACTGTTAACTAAAAGAAAATACAAAATAAATTCCCCATTTTGTACCCCACGTCTAAGCCGGTAATCAATAAAATCAACGCACCGGACAGACGGGAAAATGTCAGAAAGGGAAGGAGGGAGTCGCGAAATCAGGAAACTCATCTTGCGAACTTTCCTAAATTCAATTCTCAAAGCTGGATGCTTCAAGTATGGATCTAAATCCTCACATCATGAGGAAGCGACTGCCGTCTCCAAACCCTTCCGATCACACCTCCACTTCCTTCTCCTCCTCCTCCTCCTCCTCCGTCGTCAAGAGATTCGGATCCACCGACGGAATGAGCGTCTCCAAGTTAGTGGCAGCTCTCATGCTCGCCTTGCCGGCGATCTTCTTGCTCTCCGTCGTGTTGCGACGCCCGCAGTTCGATCTCGGCTTCGGGTTCGCCGACGCTAGAGTTCTCGTGAATCCAGGGGACGAGCCCATTGTCCAGAAGGAGGCGTCGGGTGATGGGAATGTCAACGAGGTTCTTCGAGCTCAGCTGAATGCCACTCTTCCTGGTGAGCTTCTTTCCTTTCTCTCCATTTCTCATCAGCGATGCAACTGTGATTATGTGGGAAGTTTATCTTCTTTTTTTTTTCTGATTTCAATTTGGGTTTTTTTGGGCGGTCGAGTTGCTATGGCTTGATTGGATCTTGGTTCATCAAATGCATATGGGAAAGAAACCAACTTTGCTGACCACTAGAGATTTTGGCGGTTTTGCGAGTAAACCCTTTTTGTCTGGGTTGGTTTGTTGGAATAAGGTTACTGGTGCTCTGTTTCCATTCTTAGATAAGGTGAACCGCATCCTTGCTTGCTTTGGAATGGTTTAGAAATTAGTCCAACCTCTTTAATGGTTTCCTTTTCAGTCTAGATTTCAATAACCTGATATAGCAGTAGGTTTATTTAGTTCATAATGTTAACTTGCTTTCCATTGTTGTGATGTTAACTAACCATCTATTTTCAGTGTTTATGTTATTTCATTATTTGGGATCTTAATGATTGTGAAAACCTCATCATTTCCTTTTTTTCTCTTCATTTTTTCTTGTGCTGATGAGGTATTGCTAATTGCTGTCAATCTGTAGGCTCAGAAGATGTCAAAATTGTTCAACCTTCTAAGAATGCTGCTGGTGACAAGCTGCTGGGAGGACTTCTGGCTGAAGGTTTTGATGAAGCTAGTTGTGCTAGTAGGTACCAGTCATATTCCTACCGCAAGGATAGGCATCGAAAGCCATCTCCACATCTCATTGCCAAGCTCAGAAGCTATGAAGAACTCCATAAGCGATGTGGACCAAACACCGAGCCCTATAAAAACGCCGTAAAGCTACTGAGGTCAGACCATAAAGATGTTGATTCTTCAGATTGTAATTACGTTGTGTGGATATCGTACAGCGGTTTGGGAAACAGGATACTTTCCATAGCTGCTACATTCCTCTATGCTCTACTCACAGACAGAGTCCTGCTAGTTGACGAAGGAAAAGACATGAAAGACCTTTTCTGCGAGCCATTTCCAAGCAACTCATGGCTACTGCCATTGGATTTCCCACTCACCAAGCAGTTTGACGGCTTCAATCAGGGAAACTCTCGGTGTTACGGTAAGATGCTGAAGGATAAAGCCGTTAACTATTCAACAAACTCGGTGCCATCATATGTATACCTCCATGTAGCACATGACTATGATGCAGAAGACAAGCTTTTCTTCTGTGATGATGATCAATCTCTTCTCAGCAAAGTGCCTTGGCTTGTAATGAGGACAGATAACTACTTTGTCCCTTCACTCTTCTTGATTACAGCTTTTGAACAAGAACTGGAGAAAATGTTTCCTGAAAAGGCAACTGTCTTCCACTACTTGGGTCAATATCTTTTCCACCCTACAAATGCTGTTTGGGGTTTGATCACACGGTATCATCAGACTTACCTAGCTCATGCAGACGAGAGCCTTGGAGTTCAAGTTAGGGTTTTTGATCCAAGGCCGGGACCTTTCAAGCATGTCATGGATCAGATTAGATCCTGCACTCTGAACCAGAACTTGTTACCACGTGTCGACGTGAAGGCCTCTGGTTTCACCTCATCCAAGAAGAACCCGAAATCGACTGCAATATTAGTAACATCATTAAAGCTTGATTACTCGGATGATCTGAGGAGCATGTATTGGGAGCACCCAACTTCTAATGGGGAAGTTGTTGGGGTTTACCAACCAAGTCACGAAGAGTTCCAACAGACGGAGAAACGAATGCACAACAGAAAGGCATGGGCAGAGATGTATCTTTTGAGTCTGACTGATAACTTGGTCACGAGTGCATGGTCAACTTTCGGTTATGTTGCTCAAGGTTTGGGAGGCATGAAGCCATGGATCCTTGTGAAGACAGAGAACGACACGGTTCCAGATCCGCCTTGTCGCCTAGCAATGTCCATGGAGCCTTGTTTTCATGCCCCTCCATTGTATGACTGCAAGGAGAAGAGAGGGACGGACACCGGTGCACAAGTTCCCCATGTGAAGCACTGTGAGGATGTTAGTTGGGGGGTTAAAGTGATTGATCCTGGGCATGATGAGTTGTAGGTAGCTGCTATTATTCTTTTCATCTTAGGTTTACCAGTTTTGCATAGCCCTCAGAACATGATTATCTATGGTTTCAATGAGTTTGAGATAGTTAGCATGAGTGCATTACATCCAGATTTAGCCTTCTTATGACTTGGCTTCATTCGGTATGACGGAGACTGATCATATTGAACAGCAAAAAGCTTTGAATTTTAAGTATTCCTCTCTGAACATTTAAGGACATTTAGGCCATATTCGTTTATACAGATGAACTTATGTATCGTACATGATATTGAGCCTATTTCTAAGATGTCCAGGGAGGGAAGGGACAAAAGCAAGAAGCAAACTGCATTTGGAAATTAGAATCACGGGTTTGCTTTTCGGATAAGAAGTTTCTATAATCTTTTTAATGGTTAAAAATCAAAATTTTATTAAGATCCAGGCCTGTTGAAAATCCAGCTCTGTTGTCTAAACTAGAATGGAACAAACAACAAAGGAAACCAATTATAAAAGATATTCTATGCGTACAGTATCTTGGAAAAAGTACTGCTACTATTCCAATTGCACAACGAGAGTCTTACTAAGCTCAGGACATGCCTATGACAAAGCCAACTGAAGGCCTTTCTTTTTTTTTTTGACATTACAATGGGAATTACTTGTATTTACTCTGAAAGATCGGTTACAAGAGGAGCAAACAGAAAAGATGGATCCAAAACAGAGGAGCCAACCGCAACAGGATGAAGCAAATTATGCTTGAAAGGTAAACATCAGAGAGCAAAGCACAAAATGAAACAAACCAGCAGGGGACCAAACTCTAAAATAGAATACAACAAACCCAGAAGTCCTCTTGTTTCCAAAACAAACAGAGTATAAACAAGCAAAGAATCAGCTCGTCCAACACAGCCAAGACCATGACGATTGAACTCAGCAACGCCATCAGCCGCCTCCTGGGAGCCGCTCAAAGACGACCCATCACAGTGAATCTCGAACCTAAGATTACATGGCGGTGGAAAGGGCTGTGAATCGGACTGCTCCAAGCTGAAAGGCACAGGAAACCGAGGAAGAGAAGCCCATGACCAAGGAGAGCAATGACCACACAACTCCGAGGAACAGTAGCACAACCCCGCCACACCTGGAAAAGACACTGCCACCCACATCGAGCGCCTATGAGACAGATCCAAACCGCCAAGGATGAACAGAGGGGAAACCAGTGGATGGATTCACCAGAAAACAATGAAACCACCAGATTGGAGGAAGGCCACCATTGTAGATCTGGAAGCGACACCCAATCTGCATAATCCAGATTCCTGAGAGCAAGCCCAGATCTAGAAACAGCTAGATCAACAACAAAACAAACCCATCTCCATAGGAGAGGATTGAGGAAAAGAACCCACAAAGGGACAGGGAAAGGCCAAAAGGGCTTGAAAGGCTAGAAATGAAAGGAGGAAAACAAGTGAAACAGGAGCAGGAAAGCAAATGGAAGGGGAAGGTTGGGCCACCGCCGGACACCTAGAGGTGCCGGCGGCAGCCCTGAAGAAGAGGATGTTGAGTTTTAGTGAGAAAACTCAAACCCACGGGTAACCACCCGACCCAACCCGGTTAATGCAGGTATAATCCGTGTTGACGGGTTTTGGGTTGGGTATGGGTTGAAACCCGTTCACTATTTATCGGGTTGGGTTGGTTTGGGTTTAGATAAACCCGACCCATGGGTACCCGTCCACACCCATATAATTAATTTTCTCGGTATATTTAATATTCTAAATAACTAATCTTATTTATGTTTGTGGAGACAAGTCTAATTTTTTCTTTCTAGTGGAGAGTGGAGAGTGAAGAAACTTAATTGAAAGGAAGAAGCTTTCAATTAATCATGTTATTTATGGATAATTTGTGATTTGTTTCAATTTTCTTGAGTTTTCTAGATTGGTGTTGAACAATTTGTATAGTTAATTTGTGATTTGCTTGAATTTTCTAGAATGGTGTTTTATATATAGATAATTTGTATTGAGAGATTGGTATTTGACTTTAATTTTAATAGGAACTTGTTATTGTAAATTTTTTACGACAAAAACCCGTGGGTACCCATGAACCCGCGGATACCCAACGGGTTGGGTTGAGTTTGAGTTTTCAAACCCAGTGAGTTTTATCCCGGGGTTTTTTCACGGATAAGCCCATGAGTTTGAGTTTGACAAAACCCGACCCATTATCATCCCTAGATAGAACCCCCGTGGCGGGTTCTATCTAGGGATTCGAATCGAGGTGATCAACTAGGGGTTGATCGGTTTGGGGAAGTGACGTGAGAAGAGAATTGGAAGTTTGGAAAGGAAGAGGGGAAGGAGAAGCAACTGCGGCGGCAGCCAGTAGAGGGGAGAAGGAATTCAGCAGATGAGAGGAGGAGGAGAGAGAGATTAGGCAAAGTAATTTAGGTTTAATCTTCCTTACCCTCTTCTACGTAACACATCATTTAAATAATAAACCCCCAATTACCTATAACTACCTCAACTTATTAATCCCCCAAATTATCCCAAATCAACTAATCCAATCCCACATAATAAAACCTGACGAATAAATCCGAAAGTACAACCCAAAATAACAAGTTTCTATCATTCTCGCCTCCTTCGAAACAACCTTGTCCCCTAGGTTGTTAATCCGCCATCCTGTCACCCTCTCCGCTGGCCTCGTCTTCAGCCTTGTCCTCCCACCTCCCGACCAGCATCATCAAGTCTGGACGCGCACACTTATGACCCACCGTGAACCGCTCATCGCAGTTGAAACATTTGCCTTCCCACCTCTTTTGCTCGATCTCTGCTGGTGACAGTGTCACGAACCCTTTGGGTAGCTGCCTCGGCCCGACTTTGGCCGCATGAGGGGTGCCCGTGCCAGACGCAGGGCCCCCGGTTCTGGTGCTTCCTCCGCCTCCTCCGCCTCTCGTTCCGCTGCCACTCCCTCCTCCGCTCGGTCGCTGGTAGCGACCTATGGTGCTCTTCCAACTCGCGAGCTCTTCCTCCTTATGACCTGCAAAACGGAAAGCAGACTTCAGGGAGTACGACTCGAAGACCCGGAATGCCGCAGCAATTTCTAGCTTCAACCCTACCATACACAGCCCCACTAATGTATCCTCTGGTACCCCTCGGCATTGGTTGCCCAACTTGAGAAACTCCGTCCGATAATCCGCAACCGTTCCCGTTTGTTTCAACTTGGTCAACTGTTCAGAGGCCCAACCCTCCGACTTACCAAACTGGTACCAAAGTTACGTTCTCCTAATACATCGGCCAAGTGATCAGGGTCTTTGCCGCGACCTATGACCGTTCCTTCCACTCCCACCAATGCAGCGCCTCCCCTTGTAAATAGAAGAAAGCCAGGTGCACCTTTCTCTCTTCCGGTATCAGATGGTTTTTGAACCACCGTTCTGCCGCGTACAACCATAGGCCCGCATCCTCCGGACAATTGAATTTTGGGAATTCGATGGTTGGGGGTTTGGCCTGAAAAACTAAACCATCAATTCCAGCATATGAGTGGTGATACGATCTGTACCTGTCGAACCCCGATGTACCTCCCTGATAAGCACGATGGAACGGTGGCCCTCTTCCCTGGTGGTCGGCCCCGTAGCCTCGCAGATAACCGCCAAGATAGCCCCAAAGCTGTCGTCTGTGCCAGGAGCCCCCCGCCTATCATCCGTCCACAGGTCCGGGTGCTGCAGCATGGCTCGCGAGCCTCGGGACGGTTGACCGGAGGCGCCCTCGACGCCGTAGGGACCCTTCCCGCCTGATGATCCCCTGCTGCCCGTCCCTGTCAGACGCGGCTCAAACGGGTTTGGTTCGATCTACTCCGTCCAGCTTCGCCCCGACCAGTCCCGGTGTGACCCGTTCCGGCTCACCTGGAGTTGGACTGACCCGCCTGTTTCGTTCCGAACCATGCGACCCGGTCGGACCCATGGGTAAGTCCCTAGCAGCCTTGGTCGGGTCCCAACTCGACCCACGTTGGTTGGCGATCCACTAAACTAAACACGTCATCTGCCGGATCGTGGTCCATGACCAACCAGCCTAGCCAATTGGGCTCTCTAGGGTACCCAGTTGGTCTTCCCTGGCTCGTCGATTGCAGCACTCCAAAGCCAGCCTGTTGGGCCCCATTGTCGTAGCCCGGTAACTTACCCTTGCCCTTGCGGGGCGGCAAGCTCCTGAGCCGTAGGAGGGGGCAAAAGCCCAGGTTCCAGGCCTATCCCGGTCGGGTTCTGGCCCACCCGCTCTAGGCCCTCTTTTCCCGACTCACCGCCCGCACTTCCTACCGAGGCCGGCGGGATCAGTGCTGCCCGCGTCGCCGCCGGCTTTGCCGGGGCCATCACCGCAGCCACCATTGCGGCCGCCCCGTCGTCGCCCTTGGCCCCGTCATCATCGCCCAACGACGGCTCATGCACCTCCGCGAGAACCTTCGTCATGCGGTTCACCGCTATTCACAACTTGTCCATCTCGACCTTGCGAACCTTCGTCTGTGCTGCCATCAATCGCTTCACGGTAGCTCCCAACGTCTCCTCCTCGGTCAAATCCTCCACCGTGACCGTGTCGCCCACCTGTTCCGCCACCCTGACGCTCTTGGTCGTCGTGTCCACCGCCCCGCCATCGCCTAGTCGCGGTGCTGACAGCCCGGAGAGGGCCTTCTCCTGCGGCGCCTTTTCGGCAGTAGCGGCTGCGGCCGCAGCCTTCTCAGCAACAGTTATAGATTTGGTGAACACCATTGTCCACCCGGTTGAAATTTCGTGGAGATGAGGAGGCTCTGATACCAGATAGAACCCCCGTGTCGGGTTCTATCTAGGGATTCGAATCGAGGTGATCAACTAGGGGTTGATCAGTTTGGGGAAGTGAGGTGAGAAGAGGATTGGAAGTTTGGAAAGAAAGAGGGGAAGGAGAAGCAGCTGCGGCGGCAGCCAGTAGAGGGGAGAAGGAATTTGGCAGATGAGAGGAGGAGAGAGGGAGAGAGAGATTAGGCAAACTAATTTAGGTTTAATCTTCCTTACCCTCTTCTATGTAACACATCATTTAAATAATAAAACCCCAATTACCTATAACTACCTCAACTTATTAATCCCCCAAATTATCCCAAATCAACTAATCCAATCCCACATAATAAAACCCGACGAATAAATCCAAAATTGCAACCCAAAATAACAAGTTTCTATCACCTCTCAACTATACCCGGCTAATGGAGCAATACCCAGATTTATAGCAAACGCTCTTGAGCAAAGTCTTGTATGAGCTCTAATCAAGCCCTCAACTGCTGCCTGGCTTGTAGAAGAGTAAACTGACTCATTTGAGTTGAGAGTAATACATTCGAGATAGAACAACTTCCAAGATATATCTACCTCCATTTTTGTGAGTGGATGCTACTTATGAATTAGTAGACTTTTTTTCCCCATTGCGTTCCTCGATACAATTGACCATGCCTGGATGATCTGCACATATCCTTCAGTTGTGGTGATCTTACTTGCGAAGACTCGATCATTTATGGTCTTTTAAAGAGACCCGCAGGTAACACTAAACTCTAAGATTATGTGTGTTGAAGGTATCATAGCAACCAATCCTGAAGAGGTAGTTCAAAGAAATGTTGGTGCTCAGTAGACGAGATGATTTGCATCCAAATTAACCAATAAAAATTATAGTCCCACTACACATGCATGACTATTTTTTTAATGTGTTGTTGCATCTCAGTCTCTCTCACCTCCGACTCTCATCCTTATCTATCGAGGCCCGAAAACCCTCATTCTCTCGTCCCAAACCAGACCTCGTCCTCTCTCACCCAAAACTTAACGACGTAGTGCCGATCACGATGACGACGAAGCCACCAAAGAGGAGATTGAAAGAAGGAGACGGAGTTAGTGATGGCAATTTGAACCAGTCTCGAGGATATTACTCGACCTGACCCGCAATGGGGCGAGTATTTTCCTACGCGCAGGAGCATGACGCGAGGCATGGGTATCTACTTTCGACCCGCCCCGCCCCGTTGTTGGCCCATTCATTTTCTTACAGTATCTACACATATTTCTCCTATTTTAACTTATCTTTAACTAGTTACACTCGATCTTTCAACTTGCCAGACTCAATTACCTAATATATTATCACTATTTTCATTCATAAAGTATTTTCTCCTTCATTTTATTATAAAAAGAAAAAAAATACATATATTTTTTTCGAATAACATATAGAAATGGGTTGACCCGTCCCGTCCCGACCCAACCTGCAATAACGTGGGGCGGGACATCGGTATTGCCGTATTAAGGTACCCACCCTGTTTTGCCCACCCCGCCCCACTGTAGATACTATATGGAGTGGATAATGACACGAAACAGAGTGAGTGCTAGCTTGAGAAATGAGAAGGAAAACTCGAAAATTGTTTCCCTTCCCAATTTTAATAATGAATCGCTATTTGCCGCCCGTAGTTTTACTATTTGCCGCCCGTAGTTAGAAAAAATATGATGATATTGCCCTCCGCCTCATTTTAGAACCCTAAACCTATCCCAACCTAACCCTTCACCTCCCAACCCCTCACCTGCTGCTGCCCAGACGACAACGCCGGCCAGACACCTCCGCCGCGCCGAGAAGCCTGCCGGCCAGGACGCTCCCGTCGCCACCGCCGAGAATCCCTCCGGCCAGCCACCTCTACCGCCGAGAAGCCGCCGACGCCTCTGTTCAGAGGCCTTAGCTCCCGTCGCCGCCGCTCCCTTCGCCGCCGCTGTTCCACCCTCGCTCGCTATCGCCACCGCCAACTCCAGGTATTTTTTTTTCTTCGCCTGCTTCTGCCATCCGCCATGCCTTAGCGGACACGGTCCGCCTGGCCGGAGCGGACGCGTCGGACCTCGTCCGCCCGACCTGGTCGGACCGCGTTCGCCTGGTCTGGTTGGGTTTGGTCGAATTGGTCTGATTCGGTTTGAATAGTTCGGTTTAAATAATTATTTATTAGATTTATTTTAAATACAATTGTTAGTATCTTAATTAGTTTTTTTTGGTGAAAAGTATCTTAATTAGTTTAATATTGATAGTTGAATAATTAGTATATAATTGTCAGTTGAATAATAAGTATATAATTTTTAATTATATAATGTGTTAGTTTATTAATTGGATAAGTTGAAATAATTATTTAAATAATTATCTATCGTATTTAGTAAAGTAACTATCTAGTTAAATTAACTAGATAACAAGTTGTATGTATCATAATTAGCAATTGATAAATTATGACTATGAACAAATTGCTAATCAAATAATTTATTATAAGAGATTAATAGATAATTATTGACTATGCTAATAGATAATTTATTATAATAATTATCTAAATATTATTGAATTAAATGAATTGTAAATAATTGTTAATTTTAAATAATTATCTATCATGTTTTTGTTAAGTAATTGAGTAAGTTGAAATAATTATTTAAATAACTACCTATCGTATTAAGTAAAATAACTATCTAGTTAAATTAATTAGATAACAAATTGTATGTATCATAATTACTCTATGAAACAACAAGTAATTGCTCAACAAATAATTTATTATAAGATATTAATAGAAAATTATTGACTATGTTTAGAGATGGCGTCATCTGGTAATTCTGGAGGATCACGTAGTTCTGGAGGAGCAGCAAAGAGATTGAAAAGATTTATTGGGCGTAACATTAGCGCTAGTGTGAGATATAAGGACCCAAAAGATAGATGAGCTACAGCCACAACCACAGCCACTAGTGACACCGATGAGTTTGAGGGCAGACGGTTTTCCTCAGTTTGATTTTCAGTTGCCTAGTATGGCTGGTAGTGGAGCTGCTCCCAGTCTTGATCATCATACTTCACCGTTTGAGCCTTCAGAAGAGATTGATGACGAGTCGGAGGAGTATGAGTCGGATGCTGTTGAGTATCACATTCCACGAGTGGATCCGATCGAAGACAGAGGTGCCGCCAGCGGATCGTCACATGTCGTTACTGGGGTTCATGCTGTTACTGGGATCTATAGAGACCATGCGGGGCGTTTCTACAGATCTCCACAGCCTGGTGAGGGCCAGAGTGGTAATGCTGATGTGGGAGAGGCCTGGGAGCTTAGATGACCGTGTGATGGAGGGCCAAGCGACCCGAGTTTGCTCCGTAGCTTTCTTGGGCATGTTGCTCACCGTCTGTACACTGGACAGGCTGATAGAGGGGTGATCACTTGCTACGATAGGAGTTCGACCATTCGGCACGTTCTAGACGGTCATGAGATGGCGAATGATAACGCTAGGACTACCGTAGAGACATCGGGCCTTGCTCACCTCGTTGATATCACCTTCCAGAGCGAGTTGGACACTGCTCTCATCTAGGCATTTGTGTAGAGGTGGCAGCCGAATACCAACACCTTCCATATTCCATTTGGAGAGATGACGATCCTCCTTCACGACGTGGCTCACATTCTTGGGCTTGCGGTTGAGGGAGATGCGATGGTAGTGGATCCGAGGCAGTTGGAGAAGTGGTCACTAGATGCTAACACCCGAGCACTACTGGAATTAGATCGTGACGATCCCAGTCTGTCTACGTGGTATAGAGGATATGGTTTGTTGGGTGTGGCAGCTTTGACTCATTTGAAGGAGTCTGGTCCGCCAGCTAGAAAGGCTCAGTGTTACCTTCTTTTGCTGCTTGGTCCACACTGTTCGTAGATAAGAGTAAGGACCGCGTTTCTGCTGTTGTCAACTTGTTTGTGAAGAGGCCGGATATGCTAGGAGGTACGCGTGGGCGGCAGGAGCACTTGCTTATCTGTACAGGCAGCTTGGTATTGCCTCCCGGGCGGAGGCTAAGGGAGTGGCGGGTTGTCTGACTTTACTACACTGTTGGATTTACGACCACTTTCCTACCTTGAGACCTAGTCGGTTGGAGCCACGACAGTTGGAGCAGGGGCAGGCAGGAGCATTCAGGTGGCGCGGTATCTCACCCCAGTCGACGAAGAAGAGGGATGCACAGATGCTGGCTTATTATCGGTAGGCAATTGATAGTTTGACCCCACAGCAGGTTAGTTGGACTTCGTATGGTCAGAGTCCTCATCTGACGGTGAGATGTACCTTGTATCAGGGCCTACTCAGATTTGCAGAAATAGTAGAGCCATATGATCCCACTAGGTGCCTTTGACAGTTAGGCTACGTGCAGAGTGTACCGTATCCCCCGGAGCGTCCGCTTGTTGTGCGTCGACTTTCCACGCTTGGATACTCTCTTAGCTACCAGTCTGTTTATGATTCGTGGCGGAACAACTTGGGGGTGCATAGTGTGCATCTGGACCTTTATTCTACTCCGGTACGACGTAGGCCATGGGAGTTTGCTGAGGATTACATGGGGTGGTACATTAGGCACTCGCACCCACAGATACGGAGTGACAACCGACCTCGTCGCGACATCGCGGATGCTGATACGGTTAGTACAATCATATTTGAAATTATTTGTATTAAGTAAAATTTTGTTTGAATGCAACTAATATGTATTTAAATTGTATGATTTTTGTTTACAGTTGTCACTCGAGATGTGGATTGAGATATCTCCCATGATGAATGCTGCACAGGGTAGTAGGGAGGAGTGGATGGCTAGGTCCAACGAGTACTACGACTTATGTCATGGAGTTGGGAACATGTGGCCCAAGTTTAGGAGGAAGTCGGGTTTTCTACCACCTCCACAGTAGTTGTATGATTGTTATGTCATATGTATGAGTGTTATTTGTTGTTTTTAGACGAGTGGACTTATGTTATTCTGTTGTTCTACTACGACTTATGTTATGTGGTGTTCAGTTGCTTATTTGTTGTTTTTAGACTATGACTTATGTTATTTGTTGTATCTGATTATGACTTATGTGGTTTATGTTGTACTTCGGATGTTTTTATTATATCATGTTTCCATGTGACGTAAACAAACTTCATTACACTTTATTTAAATTGAAGACGTTCATTACAATTTATTTAAATTGAAGACGAGTACATCGGGCTCCCTCTCGATTATAAATTTATTTCTTTGGAACCCTCTTTTTGCGTGATGGAAAGCTATGCATCCCACCCCCAAGATCGAACCACATTTGACTAAACGGCGCGAAATATGTATCCCATCCATGCACGCTGTCTTGGTGATCGCCTGGCCACATGCCATGTACAGGGGGCATCAGTATCTTGTCCGCCGGGAAAGAGAGGTTGAGCCAATGATTCTGGACGAAATGCACAACAATGACTCATCTAGGACTGGTTGCCCTAGATAGGTTGTCCACTGGAAGAATGGTACAGTTGTACGCACTTGGTACTGGCAAGAAGAAATTGCTGTACATGACAACAGCCAAATTAAATAGTGTGGCAAATACAAATAGATCCACACCCATCATCCAATGACGATTTGTCGTTGGTGCTGTAGTATTGATGTCAATGTGTCTGATTGCCGCATTCACATCAGAACCGTAGCAAGTAGTCCACCTTCGTGGTAGGTGATGATGACAGTGGGCACGCGTGGATGGAGCAATTGCTGTATGCACTCCAACAGCCAATGATACGACTCTTTTGTCTCATCCTTCATGAGAGCACAACATATGTTGAAATTCTTCCAAACGGGAGTAGCACCTACGACCTCCACCCACGACATTTTATATGCATTGGTCTTATACGCTGAGTCGATCAGAATCACGTATGGCCAAGCCTTCAACATCTGGATGGAAGTTGGATGGGCAAAAAAAAAAAAAAAGATGTGTAAGCACATCGTTATCGTCTTTCATAACCTCTATATGATAATTCTCCCGTTCAGCTGCTTGCAATGCATACTGCACTGCATTCATCTCGCCCATCTCGTCTTTCCTATACTTGGACCCGAGGTTATACATCTGCCTTTTGGTGTGATGCTCTTTGTCACCCTTCTGCTTGTTTATTGTCTGCTTCTGTTGCGACGGAGGTACCCCAACATCTCTCATCTGCTTCAGAGATTCTTTATCCTCCTGACTCAATTTATTCATTTTGACTGTGGCCCTCGGGATAAAGCATCTTCTCATGATTGTGATACCCTCGCCTTAAACCGGTTTCTTGCTCCATCACTGCTTGTATCTCCCAGAATAAAGGTCCATCAAGAGCATCTGGATCAACCAGTAGTTCTTTGATTTTAACCTTGAACATGCAATTAGATCCTTTTGAACTTGTATTGTCACGACTCTCCTTGGAAGGATCCGGCTTGTATGACTTCATCTCCCTAATGCATCTGTCGCAATACATCTAAAACATACCCAATACTCTATTGCTGCGCAACTCACGTGGCTTCATCGATCCCTTAGTTAGAAAGAAACCAAGAGACATCGCGATGTTTTTGGTCACTATTACAGCATCTTCGAAATTGTCATATCGGACGCCAATGAGAAAATTGTCTGTGTAATCACCAATTAGTTCAACATTGCAAGCCATGTCCACCTGCAATTATGATTTTACAACTCGTTAGAAAGGTACAAATTATATGATTCTAGAAAATTAAACTAAATGCAATAATTTAATTAACTCTACAAAATAATGATAATTTGACGATAAGAAATTTAATTAAATATAAATTATTAAACCAAATTATATCTACCAATTAAATCTAAACACAAATACACAATAAACTAATTAGCGCTACAACAAAACACAATCACTTAATTAAACTAATTGTGCTTCAATTGACTCTACAAAATTAAACTAAATGCATTAATTTAATTAACTCTAAAAAATAACGATGATTTAACGATAACAAAATTATTTAAATATAAATTATTAAACTTCTTTAGCTCTACGAATTAAATCTAAACACAATAAACTAATTAGCGCTACAACAAAATACAATCGCTTAATTCAAACTACATACGAATTTAACTATGTAAAATAAAAATAAAATCAATAAATTAAATATAAATTATTAGCTCTAGAATTAATAATATGTATCAAATTAAAAAAAAACACTACCGGCTATCGCTGTCCACTCGCCGGCGTCGGGCGCCGTCCGCTAGCCGGCGTCGGGCGCCGTCCGACGCCGGCGAGCGGACGAGTCCAGCGAGCGGACGGGCAAAATACATGAGGTCAGTGCACGGGGGTTTACCTGATTCGCTGGTCCGACGATGTGATACGATTGCCGTCCATTGGCCGACGAATTATGCTGACGTTGGTCCGGTGGCCGTCGACTTAGGCTGCCGTCCGGTGGCTGTGACTCTGGCTATGGTGATTGTGGGGGGTTGGTGGTCGGGTGGTGTGTAGGTAGTTTAAAAAACCAAACCAGAGAATAGAATATAAAGAAAAATTTGGAGGGTAAAATTGTCATTTAAGTGTAATTTACGGGCGGCAAATAGCAATTACACGGACAACAAATAGTAACCCTCTTTTAATACTGTTCGTCAGACTGGGCTGGACCGGACTAGGGATGACAATTTTGCCCATACCCATGAGTTTTTAATTATCCAACCCAATTGGGTTGGGTATGAAATCCAAATAGATGGATATGAGTAGAGTTTGATGAGTTTGTACCCATACCCATTTATTTTGGGTTGGATTTATAACAACTGGATTTGTACTCATGCCCAAATACAAATTACAGTTTGGTACCTAAACTTAATAGATATGCATATTTAGTACCTAATTTTTTTTGCATAAAAGTCCTCAAAATATCGATGGAAAATTATGTTTTGGTACCTGGATTTTTTTGGTCTTACATTTTGGTACCTAAAATTTTCAAGTTTTACAAAGAGGTCCAATTTTTGCATGTGTAGTTAAAACACTCTCAAGTAAATGGATATCCATATCCAACTCATACCCATTTAGATTATGGAAGCAATATTCATACCTTACCCAAACCCATCTACAAACCCCCCAAACCCATATACACTTCACCCATACTCAACCTATTAGAGTTTGGGTATAATTACCCATGAGTGGGTAATTGCAATCCCTAGACCTGACCATATCAAAACAGTCCACCTCAGTTAAAAACGGATTAGAATTTGATTTTGATCCGGTGGTCGGCTGGGAAGTTGTGAAAAAATAATCGAGTTGAAAGGTCCGGTTGAACCGATTCTGACCAATTTTCACCCCTTCCCTCATCCGTCATCCCCACAAAAAGCCAAGCGTCGGTATCTCATTACCTGGCCTTTCAACCAATACCATCCAACTGATTGGAAAACACTACCCGCCGGAAAGTCGCAAACTTTCCGGCTCCTCACTACCCAACTCACTAGTCCTATTCTCGGCAGCCATGGAAATGGTGGCAGCAGCATCACCAGCAGCTCAAACGTTGAGAATAATGAACACCCATTGTACAACTTCCATAGCTTACCACCACTCACCCATCTTAAAGAACACAACACCATCGCTTTTCAACAAATCGGGCATTCTCACGCTTTATGCTTCCAATCCCATCCCAAGGAGGCAGACCAACGTTCTCACTCTTCTCACTCGCTGCTCCCAAAAGCCAGAAATCAACACCAACAGTGAAACTAGGCAGAATTCCGTTGCCGCTGATGATGAACCCGGTTCAACCCCAAATCCTGAACACCCACCAACGACGAAGTTAGGTGACGACGATTCACTTTCCTCGTCTTCTTCTCTTTCATTGCCTTGTTCATCTAGAGGTTTGGTCTTCGATTTGGGCCCCTCGGGTTCTTGGGACAGCAGGGATATTGGGTCTCCTGTGGTGAAAAGGTTCCTGAGCGATGATGAAGAGAGATGGTATATGTGGTACCATGGCAGTTCCGGTCAAAACCCTGGTTCTGATTCTCTAGGTTTAGCAGTTTCAAGCAATGGAATTCACTGGGAGAGAGGGTTTGGGCCGGTTAGATCAGCTGCGGATGTGGGTTTGGTAATGAATGTTGGCCAAGATTGGTGGTCGTTTGATACTCTCAGCATTAGGCCTGGTGAAGTGGTTGTGATGTCAAGTTCGAAAGTTAAAGCTTCCAGTGCTGTGTATTGGCTTTACTACACTGGTCTGAATTCTGAGAAGGTTGATTTAGGGGCCGATGATGGTGATAAAGGAGAGGTTTTTAGTAGGTCTTTGCCAGGTTTGGCAATAAGTCAGGATGGAAGGTATTGGGCTAGAATTGAAGGTGATCATCACAGTGGAGCTCTTTTCGATGTTGGTTCTGACGGGGAATGGGATTCTCTGTTCATTGCTGGGCCGCAAGTTGTCTTCCATGGGAGTGGAGATCTTAGAATGTACTACCACTCATTTGATGTGAAGAGCAAGCAATTCTGTATTGGGATGGCAAGATCAAGGGATGGGATCAAATGGGTGAAGCTGGGGAAGGTACTAGGAGGGGGCAAAGCTGGTGGGTTTGATGAGCTCGGTGCGGTGAATGCTAGCGTTATCAAGAACAAGAAAGATGGGAACTACGTGATGGCATATGAAGGCGTTGATGGTGATGGAAAGAGGAGCATTGGCATTGCAGTTTCAAGCGATGGATTGAGAGAGTGGAGAAGGGTTGACGAAGGTGATGCGGTTTTGAGACGTGGGGAGGAAGAAGATGCCTGGGATAATCAGGGAGTTGGGTGTCCTTGTCTGGTGCAGATGGAAGGTGGGGATGTTGATGGTGAATGGAGGTTGTATTACAGAGGACTTGGGAATGGAGGAAGGAGTGGGATTGGAATGGGGTTCTCGAGAGGAAGCGATATTAGTAATTTCAGGAAGTGGACAGGATTCCAATCATAAGATTGCAACTTCTTGTTGCATGATTATGTGGGGAATTCAGAAATTCTGCAAGTGAGTTGCCTCGACATGCTAATCCTGTTGGAACTACCTCCTGTATGGAAAATGGACATGTCCCTTTTCATCTCGTTATAGTGTGGCTCTGTTGGGTGTGTTATGAATGGAGTTTCCAAATTCTAGAACATCAATCCTCTTAACCTCAAACACAGCTGCCAGTGTTTGTAGGTTTCAAGAAGAATGTTTCAGGTGTTCCGTAGTCTGCAACTTCATTCCAGTGACAACATGTGAGACTCAGTTCTGTACTTCTGTTGTCAAGCGACTCACATGTTGAATCCCTATTCCCTTGTATTGATTCTCTCTAGTGAATACTGATGCATTTGGTTGTTCGTTGTAAGTTATGTTGGTCTCAAGATTCGAACCTAAACTTATGGGTTGAATGTATTTCAGGTAATATTTTCTTGGAATTAGTTTGATGTTTATCAAGAGTGCAATATGGAAAGTGCCATGGGAGTGGGAGCATTAGACTGAGTAGATCATTTGTTCATGATTGGGCTATCAATCTGGTGTGCAGATCAACTTTCTGGATTTATTGCTCTTGAATATGATAGCAGGGTTTGTTCTGTATCTGTGGATGGACCAATGAGTCGTATTGCAGATGGAAGCAGCAACAAAAAGACATGCTTGTCGTCGAAAGAGAAGGCAGCATCAATCTTCCTTGTTTTTGTTTATTTGCTAAAAGCAAACAACTCGAGAAACAATTTAGGAATCAAGATTACAAGGAAGAAGCCATCAGGGGCATGGACAGGAACCAGTCCCACCATTCTTTCCACTACACCCGGAGTATCTGCACGGACAAAAGAAGTGAGTTGTAGACCGCTGACATGTTTATAGATCCAGGAAGTTGCAGTCTCTTTTTGCAAGAGTCTGTCCATTGTTACTATACAATCCAAGATGCTAGCCATGAGATGACTGAGAGAGCTTTGGCAATGAAAACTTACCCCAAAGGGGAGGAGATTATGCCAAGGGACCAAGACCTTGAGGGACTCCGGTAGAATATCTAACCGAGACAGTCGAACTCCAGTTATTTAGGACTTGTTTGTTTGATGGATTTGGTGAAAGATTTGGTGATGGATTTGGATTCATGATGGACTTTGTTCAAAATCCATTGTTTGTTTCAAGTATTTAGAGAATTAGAGATAACAAATCCGTGTGACCCATGAACTTTGAGGGTCCAAATCCGTGGGCCTCACGGATTTGAAAATCCCACATCTTTAGGTGAGAATTGATTATGGACTTTGAAGTCCATCATTTTTTTACTAACCTACCCCTCATATTTTGATTCTCTTTTTATATCATTAAGGACAATAAAGATAAAGTTCACTTCATACATACAAATTTAATTAACAAAATCCATAATGAAATCCATGAAACAAACAATGATCATTTTCAAATCCATAATCAACCCAAACCTCCTCCTTTTTTATACATCACCATGTTAAATAACGTATCTACATATGGTTACACTCATCCATGATTTTGAGGACAATGTACAGAGCATTCACAAAGCCATAAGCATAAGACCAACTCCAACCATCCATATAAATTTTGCCCACTTCCAGTTTTTACTCTAACCCCACTCTTCTCAAATTTAACTCCCCTTTTTTTTTAAATCTCTTTTGCATTAATACTTATGGAGATTGTATACTATTCTTTTCACTTCGTTATCATTTTTGAAGAGAAAATTTTCGATAAATTTTCGTCAAATTCTGAGACTAATTTGTTTGCCGACAATAGCAGTTAATTCAAGATGGGATTACATAACATAGGTCTATTTTTTTTAAACATAAACACACAAATGATAACGTTGAAATAACAAGATTGATACTTGAAAATAATAAAGATTAAACACATAAGATGTCTCTAATCGAACTGATGTTGATAGTACGCCTCTTTTCCACTTCCATCCCACCATGACTACTTACGTTAGAAGAATAGTTTGGAGTAGAGTTGGGATAATTTTGATTGTATCCTAGAAGGTCGTTTTGTCTGGCTCTTTGAAACTTCTTCTTTCATGGAGTCATCTATGACAGATAATTTTCAAGAATAACCATGTTTTGTTGAAGTAGTGTCGCTTCTCTATCCCTCTTCTCAACATCCCACTTTTTTCGCTTCACGTACTCGCACTTACCTCATGTATGTCATCTCATCTTCACCGTGTGCCAATTTTCTTTCCTATAGTTCCATTCTTCTTTGTTCATACTCGGCCCTCGACTTCTGCCTCTGTTTCATGTCATTTCCAAACTCCAGCAAATCAAACATTAATTGTAGATTTCCGAAGCCTCAACAACACTCTTTCCTTTCTTTCTCGCCTTTTGTTTGACATGTACCTCAGGGCGAGATAAGTTGAAGGTTGGACTTCTTGAATGCCTCGCATGTCCTCAATGCCCGACATTGATGAATCATCGGAAGCGCCACCCATGGGTGAACCATCATAACCTTTAGTCATGTATGTCGACTGCGAACCCTGACCTGTTGGAATTTTAACTACACTGGTCGTTATTCTCGTGATGGTTAATGTGATGCGACCCCGCTCACCCCGCATGACGTCACACCAGCTCAAACTAGATATCTACATGGACCATGGTTCAAGAGAGGATTTAAGAGGTTTAAAGAGAGCTTGGAAGCATTCAAGGTGGAAGAAAAGGTCATTTCAAGCAAGGCCTACGAGTTTGTTGATGTGAAATCCATTGGCAGAATATATAATTCTCGTGGTCCAAAGATGAAGGTCTGAGTACGACGATACAAGGATCAAATGGGATCATTCTTGATGGGACGTGGACTTGCTAGAAGGAAAGTCCATCACATTGCTACGATTTATGGACTAGAATGAAGAGAAGATGAGCTTGGTAGAAGGAAGGAAGATCTCCCATGGTGTGAACACAAGGTGTGAAAAGGAGTACAAGTGTGAAAGGAATATCAGGTGTGAACACAAGCCATGTGAGGGAGGATTGCAAGGCTAGAATCTAGGGAGTTGTTGACCAAGTCTTTTACTTGTCTTTTAAGGATTGTGTTTTCCTTTTACTTGTCTTTTAAGGATTGTGTTTTTTCCTTTTACTTGTAGGATTTGTTTTTCATTTTAAGCTTTTGATTTGTGTTAGCTAGTCTATAAATAAGAGGCTGAGTTCCTCATTGTAACTCATTCAATTATCAATCAACTTTCAAGTTACAAGTTCATACGAACTAGTTCTTTGTGCAAGCTTCTGTTGAGAGTGCTCCAGGAGTTTCACGTGTCTCTTATCAACTAGAAAACGCGTCTAGTTGTGGCGAGCTTCTACCCAATAACGAATGGCCTTATTCACGAGTGGGTGATTGTTTGATTGGTTTCATATACCAATTGGCCTTTCACACGAGTTGGAATCTGTTTGATCGTGTTCCATCATTATCTTTTGTTCGAGTTCTTGTTCGTTGGAGAAAAGCTTTGAAAACCCATAAAAAGTAGGAAATCTGCGTACTTTGGTCACATCAAGTGGTATCAAGAGCCCGGTTCAAACGCAGCGGAGAAGAAGGTTCTTTGGCAATCTTGTCGTGTTCTTGAAGGTTTTGACGTCATCGTAAAGGATCTTGGAGGAGTCTTTACGTTCTTGAAGGTTCTTGCGAGCTATCTTGAAGGAGTAATTAGTGCCGAAAATATGGGAGACGAGATCAAGGCATTGACTGATCAAATCCAAGCGTTACTTCAAGCACATACCACCAGCCAGAGGGAGATTCAAACGACGCTACAAAGCTCAAAATGCAAGAATGGAAGCTTGGGAAACACGGATGCAAGCACCACCAAACCCTAACCCTAATGTTGCTGCTGAAAGGGCTAGGAGGGAAGAAGAAGATCGTGGAGAGAGAAGGGTGGTACAACGACCCGTGTTCGAACATGCTAGGCGACATAGGCCAATGGGTGGACTACATGCAAGACGAGGCCAGCCTCGTGATGAAGAGGTCGAATATGAGGATGACGAGGGTTACCCTCGAGATGAAAATGATGATTTGAGGAATATTAAGGTCAACATACCATCATTCAGAGGTTCCACTATCCCGAGGCTTACCTAGATTGGGAACGAAAGATGGAATTGATCTTCGATTATAACAACTATTCGGAGAGGAAGAAAGTACAAGTGGCCGCACTCGAGTTTACGAATTATGCCATTGTGTGGTGGCATCAAGTAAGCATGAGGAGGAGGAAGAATAGGCAGCCACCTATTGAGACATGGGCAGAGATGAGAACTGTAATGCGGGATCGATTTGTGCCTAGTTCTCATCGTAGAGAGATGCATCAAGCCCTACAACTTCTGCGCCAAGGTACCAAGAGTGTAGAGGATTATTACCGCGAGATGGAGATGCTAATGATTCGAGCGGATTTGGAGGAAGATCGCGATGCTACCATTGCACGAATTCTTATATGGCTTAATCGAGAAATTAGAAATGTGGTGGAACTTCACCCCTATGCGGATCTATACGATTTGGTTTGCAATAGCAGCCAAAGTGGAGAAACAACAACGTAGTAACGTTGGGAGGAGATTCACGCCACCACAAGCAGCACCAAGGCCAGGAACGCCTTCAAACTTCAAACCCTAGGCCAGCCATAACGAAGCTAGAAGCACCAACACAGGCAGCCAAGGTTGAAGCACCAAGAGACAAGCCCACAAGCTCTAGTGGAGGCATTCAATGCTTCAAATGTCATGGAAGAGGGCATATGGCCAACCAATGCCCTAATCGAAGAGCTCTAGTCCTACTAGAGAATGGAGAATATGTCTCGGATTCCGAAGAAGAGGAGCATGCGAGGGGAGCCATCAGAATCTGAAGTTGACGAATCAATACTCAATAGAAATGGAGCCCCCTCCTAGAAGTTTTGCTTGTCACGAGAAGAATGCTAAGCGTGCAACCCAAAGAAGGACCTCGAGCAAAGGGATAACCTGTTTCATACAAGATGTGTAGTGGATGGGAAGCTGCTC